TTTTTTCAAAAATGCCAACGCTATCTAAAACGTCAAATAGCTGATTTAAAAACCCTACTTAATTTAGAAAAGTTGGTCAAAAAGCAAAAATAAAAACAACTGCCGACGCAAAACTATTTTTTTATTTGATTAGTTTTTGGATTATTTTGTTTATACGTTTCTCCAGTTTTGGTGAAATTTGTCAAAAATGATGATGAATGAAAAATGAAATCGGCACCCCATGCCGACTACTGGCAAATCCCTATTTTTCTGTTCCTAATGTCGGCAATAGGTAATATAACAGAATGTATGTTTTTATACTCCCCACCATATTATGGAGGGTATATTAACTTTGTCATTCCGTTTGTAACTCCTCGAAATACTCATATCAGACCCAACAAAGTATATATATTCTTGATCAGCGTAAAATTCTAAGTCGATTTAGCGATGTCCGTCTGTCTGTCTGTCTGTCCGTCTGTCTGTCCGTCTGTCTGTCTGTGTGTTGTAATCACGAATTGAGATTTCGAATGAATTGAGATAGATGGCTAAAATTTTGCACACATGTTTATTTTTCCAGTAGGCAGGTTAAGTTCGTAAATGGGTTCGTAAAACGTGGACCTAACGTTTTCATATAGCCCCCATATAACGGTACCTCCCTATATTCGATATTTTGATGATTTTAGCGATATTATTCACGGGAATTGTTTCAAATTTGCTATTTGAAGTTCAAAATGGATACTACACCCTAAGACGGAAAATTGTCTGTGCAGATCCACGTCTTCATATAGCCCCCATATAACGGTACCTCCCTATATTCGGTATTTTGACGATTTTAGCGACATTATTCACCGGAATTGTTTCAAAATTGGTATTTGAAGTTCGTTATGGAAACTACAGTCTGTGACAGAAAATTTTCTGTGCGGGTCCAGGTCTTCGTATAGGCCCCATATATCATCAGTACCTCCCTATATTCGGTATTTTGACGATTTTAGGTACAATACCCACCGAAGTTGTTTGAGATGTGGTATTTGAAGTTCGTAATAGATGCTACAGCCTGTGACAGAAAATTGTCCATGCTGGTCCAGGTCTTCGCACAGCTCCAATTTAACGGCACATCCTTATATACGATATTTTGATGATTTTAGCTACATTATTCGCCGTTTATTTCAAGTTTCGAATTTGCTTAATGGCTTATGACAAACAATGCCTATGTATGTCCACGTCGTATAGACCCCAATATAACGGCTATATTCGGTATTTTTAAAATTTTACCAGAATTTTTAAGGATTTTATTTTTAAAAATTTCCAAATTCGTTGCATATGGTGGAGGGTATTAAAAGTTCGGCCCGGCCGAACTTACTGCTTTTTAACTTGTTAAGTTATAAAATGATCTTTAGACTCTTATTTACTATTATAAAATATTTCTGATTCCAAAAGTATTAAATTTAATTTACTTAAATCGATTATTAAGTTGACGCCACCACTAATTTTTTTCTTTACAAACAAGCTCTATCGCACGCGTTGGAAGACACTCACTGACGAAAACCGTTATTCTCTCGTAATAAATGATTGGAGCTCATTGTTTTTTTACAGAAATAGAGCAGAGAACACTTACCCTATGATGTGTAGACTTTTTAGGGTAATATAAAGCGACAACGGACAAAATTGTTATTTATAGACGTTATGTATTTATTGGGTAAGGGGAACTGTAGGAATAATATAATTTCAGAAAAGGATAATTTATGAACAAAAAAAAAAAAAGATTTTATCGTGTACGAACGGGTTTTTCTAAGTGATTAACTATATTTATGGTGGCAAAACTGAATAGATGATGTCGAGATAATTTAACGCGGTCCCACCGAAGTTAAAGAATATTTTATTTTTTAAAATTGCAAAAATTTTAAAATCGGGAAAAATCGAGAAAAAGTTTTCAATGGAATCAAATTTTAAAATAATAGTACATTACATTGACAAACTTCGTAAAGACCTTCAAACATTTGCTGTAAAAAATCAGCGAACAAGTTGAAGGTTTCTGTTTTCTTTTTTTAATTTGTTTTTCTTTTCAATTTCATATAATGCACGACTTTTTAATTTGGCTATCGTATTGAATCCAATCGTTTTTTTTTCTGAACAATATAAAGAATTATTTTCACCATTTACAAAGTTATGTTACTTACTATCACATGACAATAATCCGTCCAATGAGAACTTAAAATGCAAAATTTATTGGGACTGCAATCAGTAAAATACAGAATATAAAGGGTGCAAAATAGTGGAGCGAATTGGGCATTTAGTAAGATAATCCTTCTATATATCTATCCTTCCAGAAGTTCTTCCTAATTTTTGGCCATAACATAAGGTTATTACGAGGGCCATAACCCCCGTATAAGGGTACATCCCGATTTCATGCATATTTTACATTTTAACCATATTTATACCCTGTTGGGGGTATTATAAGTTTGATTGGCCAAAAATTGTGTAACACCTCGAAAAATTGGTTTCCCACATAGGATCTTCCTATCTCGCCGAGGTGAGTCGATCTAGCTGTGTTTGTTCGTCCGTCTGTCCTGTCTGTTAATTTGTAATCAAGCTACATGTCGCAATTATGAACCGATCCTCACGAAATTGAAAATGGAGGTGGGGTTATGGTCAGAATAGAACCCTATTTTTGGAGATGATCGCACGATATTTAGGGGTTGAAATGGACCAAAAACAGAAAATTTCCTGATTTTGCAGTTGCTCTATAGGCCACAATTATGAACCAATCGACCCGAAAATTTACATGGAGTTAGAGTTTAGGAGTGGGCGGAAAACTACCAAGCGGGTAAAATAGACCCTAAAAAAATAAGGAAAATGTCCACTAAACCGTAAATATTTTCAATACCAGCAATACCAATACAAATACATTAAAAGATCACTTCTGACCATTACAGTGATGCTAATAGCCAAGAAATCGGAGATATAGCAAAATAGGTACAATATGTACATGTAAAAGAATTGATCTTATTTATTCTGCTTATAAACCAAGAACCGCTGGCCCGATTTTCACAATTCCCATCAATACGGATTGGTCTCTTGACAGAAAACGATAAAATCTAAGAAAATCGCGGAAAATATACCAATAAAAAATGATTATCTTTTGTCGATTTTTTTCAATTTTTGTCGTATTTTTTATTGCATGCGATTTTTTTCAATTTGACTGACAGTTTTGGATTGTAATCCACGTTTTTAGTCCCTTAAAAATTCTTTAAAATATCCACATTTATAGCCCTTTAAAAATTCTTTAAAATATCCACGTTTATAGTCCTTTAAAAATTCTTTAAAAAATCCAACGCAAATGAAAAGTGACAGCTCTAAGCAACTTGGTTTATTTCCAATAACAAAACCAATAACATTGGCTTCTATGACAACCAAAACCGACAAAATTCTAATTCGAAAATAAAACCGATTTTCATGATTTTCATGACACCAAAGCATTTTTTCTTGTCGGTTTTAAAACCAATAGTGACAAAATTGGTTTCTATGACAGCCCTGATTATATGCATGTCGCAATTATCGTCCGATCCTCACGAAATTTTTCATGAAGTAGAGTTAGGGTCAGAATTAAAGCCTATTGTTCTTAAGATGTACATTTATAGGTGCACATGGACTAAAAAATTAATTTTTTCTAATTTTGTAGTCGCTCTATAGGCCACAATTGAAGACTAATCGACACGGAATTTCGCATTGTAAGAGAGTTAAGGATAGGGAAGAAGTCTAACATTTTGGATATTGGCCAAATTTTTCGGGCCAAAAAACTAAGGGTAACCTCTGGACGGGTCTCTTTGACATTATTTCAAAAAACGAAATCTTTCAAAATAGATTTGGGATATAAGGGGACTTCGAACATATTGTAGATTTATAGGGTATCACATGGTCGGCCCAGCACAACTATAGCCTTTGCTTACTTGTTTTCATAATAATTTCTGAAAATGTTGGTAATTTGAGAAGAATCCATCCTTGCAAAAAGTTATCATGTGTTGGTGATAAATATGTGATTTAAGCTATTTTCGGTGTTTTGGCCATTTGTTTCGCCCTTATTTGGCATATTTTTTTCCAAGGGGGCAGCAAACCTCTTCGCATATAATTTTAAATTTTCGGAGTAGGGTCCACCTTGGTCTTGACCACATCCATCAATTGATTTGGTTAAACAATTGTATTTGGGCTATTCTGAAGTAGAGGGCTATCTTACAGATTATTATCCCCCACGTTAGTGTACTCCCAAGTCCACTTCCCCAACCAATTTATGAGGTGGACAAAACTAAATACCACGCAACACGGTATTCTAAACGCTGGAAATACAAATTACGGCTAATTTGATTATGTTGCTAAGCTCTTTACTATTATAGATGTTCTATATCATATAGGTTCTTATGAAAGCATATAAAGCCTCAAAAAATATACATTAAAAACTAAAAGTACGGGGCGGCAAGGCGGACCATGCTAGCTAGTAGTTTATTTTTCAAACTTCAATGTTCTGATTGGTGGAAACAAATTCGTGTTACAGAGTTACCAAAACTTCGACGTTGTATACAAAAAACTTCAGCTTCCCCACTATGGTAATTTTTTCATATTTCTTAAATTCTTATTTTCCATATCTTATCATAGGAGGAGTAGCTTAACGATTTGAAGTCTTTCGATGGCAAGGGTATTAGCCATTTTCGAAGGCAGATACCAAAGACTTCCCATACTCTTTTCACTAATAGCGGTTGAATGATCAGATGTCATGACGCTTTTTTAAATTCTTGCTAGCTTTTTATGCGTTCCTTCAATGTTTTGGAGAATAAACAGATACATTTTTGATCTTCCTTCTTCCCGCTAAATAGAAACTAATCGATAAAAAACATTATTTTCAAATATCATTAAAAATCATCACATGAAATTTTTTTTTCGCACTCTCATTATTTTTTTTAATATAATAAAAATGAACTCATTCTTCTGATTATTAAAATAAAAATATTTACAATCTTTACATCTTTCAGATGCACCCCACAATGGATCAATTGGATATGTTGGATCCAACGGGTTCGATGACAACCTTAGCACCCATTTCAGAAACGCCTTTAACACCTACGCACCAGCACTTACATGGATCCTATCACAGTATGAACCATATGATGGGTCACCATCATCCGAGCGGTTTAAGTGGACATTCTGCGGGTACGGCCATTCAATGTTCCAAAACTCCTCTTGGCACAGATATAATTGTTTATTTTACTCCCTTACACTAACGCAGGACACCATGGACATTCGGCAGTACATCATCCTGTGATAACGGCAGCTGTTGCGGCGGCTGGCCTTCATCCTGATACCGACACAGATCCCAGAGAACTCGAAGCCTTTGCGGAGAGATTTAAGCAACGAAGGATAAAATTAGGTGAATATACGTATTTATTTGGACATCTTCTCCGCTATCCGCCATGCAGTAGCCAATCAAGCTTTATGCATGTCTGTAGATTTATAGAAATAATCATCAACTTTATTACAGGTGTCACACAAGCCGATGTCGGCAAAGCACTAGCGAATTTAAAGTTACCTGGAGTTGGGGCTCTCTCACAAAGTACAATATGTCGCTTTGAAAGTCTCACGCTGTCGCACAATAATATGATTGCCCTAAAGCCCATTTTGCAGGCGTGGCTAGAAGAGGCGGAGGCTCAGGCGAAAAACAAGCGAAGAGATCCTGATGCCCCCAGTGTACTTCCTGCCGGCGAAAAGAAAAGGTAGACAGCGTTCTGGTTAATGCTACATCCAAACTCGGCATGCATCCACGCGACTCCAGTCCGCAAAAAAAAGCGAGCCTTGCCTAGGTCCAGCAATAATGTCGATAATCTATTCCAAACGATGTTTGGAAATTATTCGGGCATTCTATTGGAAATTTCCGTATTGTTAACTTGAAAGCAACAATAAATCTAAAGTCCCCAACTGCTGGAGTTGCGAGCAAATCATAAAACACCTACAAACATACATACATTTACATCTACATCTACATTTACATTGCATGCACAATGTAACATGAATGAATGTCGGATCTTAGTAAATCATGAGTAGGACGGTATTATCATTTCCATCTAAATCGGTTCTCTTTAATATGCATTATTTTCGCCTCAATCATGTGGGGAAATTCTTGGATAGGACATAGGCTACGTTCTTTGTCGTGTAATTGTTCCTTTTCCATCTATTTGGCACATGATTTTCTACATTTCACGTCAAAGAAATCATGAAAGAGACTGTTAACAGTGTACCCGATCACAATACAAGCCCCAACTATGGCTTAAATGTAATTCCCTCCTTCAAACCTTGAAAATGTATGCAAATTGTGTATTGAATTTGTGTATTGAAAACCTACCAGCCTTCTAACAATTATCATCTGGTTACAAGTGTACGTACACATACATACATACCTGTAACTCAGAAAGACATGATATATACTTAATACATAGCGATATTTTTTCATATTACTAGTCAAGCGATAATCCGGACTGACAGCTATTCCACATGAATTGCACAAACTAGGCACTCGCATTTTATTTTATTTGTTTTTCTAAAGTAATCTATATCGAGTCTTTTTTCAAGAAAAAGGACTTCCATTGCGGCACCTGAAAAGCGATCTCTGGAAGCGTACTTTGCCGTTCAACCGAGGCCATCTGGTGAGAAGATAGCTGCCATTGCCGAGAAGCTGGACCTGAAGAAGAATGTGGTACGAGTCTGGTTCTGTAATCAGAGACAAAAACAAAAACGTATGAAATTTGCTGCACAACAACCATGACAATCAACTAATACAACAACACAATTAGGTATAGTTAGCAGCGTTACACCCTCGATGACTGGACACGGATCGGCGGGGTTTGGTTACTGATAGCCGATGTTCCCTGGAGACCACTACATGTAGATTTCCTCCTACCCTCACTAGACGCTCGACAACACCCGGCCCCATACCCGATGGATGTGAGCACCCCCGATCCCACGGTGACCCTGGAGGAGACCAACACCAGCGAGCGTGCACTTATTATTTACATCGATCTAAATTACGGATTCACCCTCAATATGCCAACAATCAAATGCGATTATTTATGGAACGATCAATGCAAACAATGGACCAACATATCAAATGCAATAACATTACAAGTAAAGGTGAGTCCATCAACTATCTGATGGTTTGGAGAGTTTGGTGCAAAATGCATACATAGTTGGTTACATACAGGCATACGAGTATGCATACATATATGACGCAATAAATACAAGGTAGGATAAGTAATTGTGAAAAACAGCGAACGAAAACAGACGAAACGAATAACGTACTGCCGACACGAAGTCACAAACATTTAAATATTTTTCAATCGTTTTGTACTCCAAACAAAACAAAACCATAAACATTTCAATGCCGGAAACAATACGATTGCTTTATTGTACTTTGACTAGGGTTGCGAGCGGTATCGTTTGCGAACGAATCGCCCGGAAACTTTTTCAAACCTTAGCTGTGCGTAATGATGACTGCTAAATTTAGAGTTGCCATTATTTTGCACCTTTCCCATTGTATGATGGACATTTTAAATGAGTAATAAAAATACATGCATTTAACTTAATATTGGCTTTTACTTCATTCGTAATGACTTAATACACTAAGAAAAGTCTCCAATGAGTTTTGTACTGTTTCAAATGTTGCGTCATCCAACCGAGAACATTTCCGTTTTGTTTTTTTTTTACTCATCTACGCAAACACTACAAATAAAAAAACAAGTCCCGTTATCTTAAAATCCGTTTTGTTACGTTTCGTACGTCGAGAAATTACAGAACGATCGATTGCAAACGTTTGATATAGTTTATTTTCGTTCACTGGTGAAAAACGAGACCATGTTGTATGACTTAATGTGAGAATACATAAAACGCTTTTCTGACTGGCTTAAGTCTTCGGCAGGCTTCTTCGGAAAAGAACAAAGGAGTCTAGGGCCGAAATCGAACTAAGTCAATCGAAAACGTCTTTAAACCAGACTGAAACAAGTAAAACACGTTAAGTACAGCTGGCCAGAATTTTTAATACCCTCCACCATGAAAAGAAAACCTTTAAAAATAAACAAGTAAAAAAGCTGTAAGTTCGGCCGGGCGAACTTTGAATATCCTCCACAATATGGAACGAATTTGACAATTTTCAAAAAAAAATAAAAATGTTAAAAATTCTGTTAAAATCTTAAAAATGCCGAATGTAGCCGTATGTATACGACGACGTGGACATGCATAGGCAACTTTTGTCGTAAGCCATTACAATATTAAAATGCGAAACTAGAAAAAATCGGTGTATAACGTAGCTATATCATCAAAGTACCGAATATTGGGAGGTATCGTTATATGGATCTGCACAGACAATTTTCTGCCATAGGCTGTAGTATCCATTACGGACCTAAAATACAAAAACATCAAAATACCGAATATAGCGAGGTATCGTTATATGAGGGCTATACGTAGACGTGGATCTGCACACACAATTTTCTGTCATAGGCTGTAATATCCATAACGAACTTCAAATACCAAATTTGAAACAATTCCGGTGAATAATGTCGCTAAAATCATCAAAATACTAAAAAATTCTAAAAAACTGAGATTGAATATTTGGTCCACTTCCATTTTTGCCAGTGAAATCGGTTTGTAAAAAGTTTTAAAAATGCCCTAAAGTCGATAGTACCGCATTCTTTTTATTGCGAGTTTCAAATTCAAATCTGTTAAAAGAATATGGGGAAGTACCGAAACATGGGGGCTATAGCAGAACGTAAACCTATGTAGGCAATGATCTGCCACATGAGGTAGAACCCATTACGAATCCTAGGTACTGAATTTCAAACAATCCTGTTAGAACATGTGATCTAAGTCGTTAAAATACCGAATAATGGGATTTTTATTTACAGCTGAATTGGAGTGGAATGTTTTGTTAATAATTTTCACATAAGTTGGACGGAATGAGCCATGAAAAATTGAATTCCCCTTTTCGAGATGAAATAAATGTTTAATATTATGCAAACTTTGTTAAAAAAAAAAAAAAAAAAACTTGTAAAAATCGCTTATAAATATCTCATTTAGAGTGGTTGTTTTCTAAGTGTTTTCTGGGACTCATGTAGTCCGCACAGCCCATGTTGAGAATTATTTTGTTATCATTTTATCTCTCCAATTTGTCCTTTTTGGGATGAATGTTCCTAAATCCCGAGTGACAGCTCATATAGATATGTTCTTTATCTTCTACCTAAACCAGCTCTGTGAACTTGTATAGAACCGAAATTCAGTGATACCACAAATTCGAAATCGTCGACCCATATTGGTCATTTCCATCAACATGGATTTCAGACTTGCGACTGTCTGTTGATATCAAGGAAGAAGGCTAATTCCATTAAAAATAGTTTTTAGTCCTTTTTAACCACAATTGCCAACCGAAATAGCTGTAATTTAGAATTTATTTTTCTGAATGGATATTCAGTATATTCTGAATGGATATTGGTATGGTTTAGCCAAAATCACCATGATCCACCATAAGAAAAATTTCATTGTAGGTACTTCGAAGGCTTCAAAATATTGTGGGTGCCAGTGTGATATGAAAGAAAGTTGCCGTAGTTCCTACGCTTATAACTCAAGAATCTCAGGGCATATATCGCGCTTCTGCCGGGAGATGCGAACTCCTTCAAACAAACAAAAATGGCCGATACAGCCGTATGGGGCTCATATCATATCGTAAACCTACTCCTACTACGGGCCGGCAACGTGGACTGGGCCAGCTAGTACTGAATCAAGCCTCTAAAATAAAAACTCATGTTGATTGTAAAAAAAACATTTGAAACCTTCTACATATTTTAAGTCGTGAGGTACTACCGACTTAAAATATTTAGAAAGTATTAGCTGGTCCGGTCCACGTTTGCCCATATTTAAATATGTATAAGCTTGTGTATAAAACTCCCACCCAATGAGAATACAGAAAGCTTAAAAAATGTAAAATTGTGATGTATCCGACGTATCATACATACATCAAAAAAGTCGTAAACCTAGACATATAATAAGAGTTTTTGTCAGAAACACGGCGATTGAATATTTGTCAAGCTTATCATAATTGTTATTGACTTCATGTATACAACCTGAGAAATCGTTCTACATATATATAAAAAATAGTTTACTGGTGCTGAAATGACGGAGCCAATTCCAGCCATAGACTTTGTTTGGACTTTTTAGGTCCTGGTAGGTCTACCTACAAAGAACTTCAACTTTCCCACTATGGTAATTGTTTAGTACGGTCGTATTATTCAAATACCCAGGTCCATATCTTCAAATCTTACTAAATCATTTGGTAAATTTTGTACCGGACCGAATATCTGAAACTGAAACACGAGATAAGATAACAGCATATGCAGGGCATGTGGGGAAGATGACGAAACATTGGAACATTTTCTCTGCCAATGACCAGCGTTTGCAAATATCAGATCCCAATTCTTAGGGAACGACTCCATACCAGACCTTAATCAGGTCATGGTAAATGATATAAGACAGTTAAGAAATATTATAAAGGCAACCGAATTTCAAATATAACAGACTGTAAACTGCCCGTCTTCTTCAAAAACACCCTTAGTCTAGAGCGCACAACAGGCCTATACTGGATAAAGTGTATGCCCAACAGGGAATGCGCGAATTGTTTCGTCCCTCTTTTCAACCTAACCTAACCTTAATAATTTGGTCAAATAGAATATTTTTGTAATTTCAAACGTTTGTATTTATTTAGTTATTAGCTTTCTATGTATTTACCTTATTAAATTTCAAAATTCAAATTCAACTTAATAGAAAACAGGATTCAATCTCTGATTTCAGTATATATGTACTTATGAATGTACATACAACATTTTTATGAAACTTCGCGGCGCTAATGTCTAATCGTTTGTTTTTTTAGAATTCTTCTATTTCCGTTTGCATTCGAGTTGAAGGAACTGTTATTTTAACTAATTAAAAATAGAACAGTGTGGCTTGTTTGTTCGGGATACCGTAGTATTTTGTTGTTGCAAAATGGTCAGGCTTTATCCCTTTTTTTGTTGTTTTTACCCCCTGGTAAACATTACCATCGTTCTCCACTAATAAACTAACGTTGTTTTTATAAAAATAACAAAAAAAGGGATAAAGCCTGACCATTTTGCAACAACAAAAAAAAATTAAAAATATATATGTGTATTTTTGTACCAAACCTCTCTTTATATTAGTTTTATATACATTTTAAGCAAATATGTATGTACAAAGATTATTGTTACATTACTGTATTCCGTTTCTCTTTTTTCAGATACATTTTTAAAATTGAGACCTACGACATTGCCGTGTATAGTGAATATTATTCTTGTGCAAGCACTTCGGAAACCTTCAAGGAATTTCGGATTGTATTTTAAGTTTAGTTTTTTTTAATGAAAGGCATTGTCGTGGGCTCTATGCTTCCTTTAGAGTACTACCTACAAAGCAATTAACTGAAATTAAACTACGAGATAAATGATACCAACAGAACTGCAACTGGCCGATACCATAGAAGAGAAATGTCATTGGAACTTCATGCGAAAGCAGCACTCAAGCACTCGGAAATGCAACGAATTTAACATGTTGCCAAACTATATGTATAACAATTATTTATTAATTTCATTGTAGACATGGGAGGAGAGGAGGAGGCTGTCGATGATCACGACAGCGATGTTAATGGTGACGATTAAGTTGACGACGATCACCGATCGTCCGATTCCGAACTGTTAGCAATTTTCAATAAATTTTTACAAAATACTCCTAAGACTAGAGATGTACAGAACACAAAATTTATATATTGAAACTCTACTATTAGAATATGTATGTACATATTCCTATACAGAGACTTACATACATACCAACCTATGTATAGAAGCGCATACGTACATACATATGCTAAAACATTTATGTGCGAGATAGATTCTCCAGACATAACACACAAATATAAATAACAACAATAAACAAAAAGAAAAGATACATTTTGAAAAGAGAAAAAGAAAATTAATTAAATTATCAGATTAACTTTTAAGTAGTTTTGTATCTACATAAGTAGCAATAAATTTTAATACCCCAATTGAAATTTTAATTTTAATTTCGATTCCGATAAGCAGTATTCTTTACCATCTATTTTTGAATATGTAAATATGTAATTTGAAAACTAAAAAAAAGAAAGAGAAGCATAAAAGAAAAATAACAAATTAAAGAGAATAAAAATCAGTAACTTGTTAATTTCAATTAAATGCTAACCGTAGATGTACTCCTATCTAATATAGAGGATAATAAAATTTAGTTAAAAGCAATGGCATTCAATTTTCTGTGTCTGAAGACATTTGATTGCAACAAGGAAATCCGCTCTCGGCCATTATTTTAATCAGTTTAATCATCAGAAGAAATGGTTCGAAAAGTAAGATCGAAAACCTCGTCGCAGTGGCCGAAAAATGGCTCATGAGCTGAACATATCGCAACATTCCATTTGGCAAATATTGAAAAATGAGCTCGGGATAAAGCCATTGAAATTCCAAAAAGTGCAAGAGCTTACACCGCAACAGAAAGAAAATAGAATTAAAAAAAGCTAAAGAGTTGCTTCGCTTGGCCGAAATACAAAAGTGTCGATCACCTCAAGCAAGCGCTTCGCCGGGAATGGGCCAAAATACCGCAGAGCAACATTCGGGCAGCGTGTGACTGTTTCATTGGCCGTTTGAAGGCTATAATTCGTGCCAAAGTTGACCATTTCGAACAAATCTGAACATATTCTAACATTTGATGCTATTTGCTTTTATTCAATAAAATTTAAAAATATGTAAAACTTATGGCGTTCGACTTTGTTGCAGTTTTTCTTATCTCACCCTGTATATAAGTTGCAAAAATCAAGAATCTACGCTAGCTCCTTTTGGAAGTTTCCACACAAACAGTCACAATTAAGAAAATATTATGTCAATAGACAGGGAAAGGCGTGGACAACACCTGACCTAAGTGTAATGCCAATATTACGATTTATATCTATAAAAGAGGAAAATGTATCTACGTTTGATTGTTTGTTTGTAATTTATGGACTCGAACAGATTTTCCTGAAAATTTCTAAGTATACTACAACATAGCCTGAAAGTAACATAGATAGAGATGTGGCATCAATATCTAAATTTAGATTTAATCTGCACATATCTATTGATCGATTACAGATACAGTCTCCAAATTTGGAATGCGTAACGGAATTCGGAACAAATATAAATTTTGCCAAATTATATTGAAATCGCTTCAGATTCGGATGTAACTCCCATATAAATTTTCGGGCGATTTCATATATTTGTTGCACCAAACACGCTTTGTATCTCTAATTTCAATGAAATTTAGAATGTGTAACGGAATTTAATACGAACATTCATTTGCCGAATTATATTGAAATCGGTTCAGATTTGGATATAGATCCCATATATATTTTCGACCGAATTCATTTTTTTGCTGCATTAAACAAGCTGTGTACGTCACATTTCAATGAAATTTGGAATACGTGACGGATTCGATTAGAAAATAAAATTGTCAAATTAAAAAAAGTTGCCAAATTATATTGAAATCGTTTACGATTTGGATATAGCTCATACATATATTCTCAGCCGATTTCACATATTTGTGCACCAAACACGGTATTTACCTCCAATATGGAAGGTTTGGCGGAATTTAGTGTAAAAGTATATTTTATCAAATTATATTGAAATCGGTTCAGATTGGGATATGATTTTATTATTAAGTACCATTGAACTACAACGCCTTTGGAATGGTATTAGGTTATCAGAAACAAGTTTATAAATTACAAACATACAAACATTTTCCTTTTTCATAGATAGAGATAAGTATTATAAGTTTGATTGGGCCAAACAGTATGTATAGATCTTCCTATCTTGCCGAGCTGATTCGATCTAGCTATGTATGTCCGTCCGTCCGTCTGTCCACGTTAATTTGTAATCATGCTACAAGTCGCAATTATTGATCCTCACGAAATTGAAAATGATTTAGATTTCCACAGATGGACGAACGGACATGGCTAAATCGATATAGACTTTTATGCTGATTAACAATATATATACTTTGTGGGGTCTTAAAAGTATATTTCGAGGTGTTAAAAACGGAATGACAAACTTAATATACCCTCCATATTTTGGTGGAGGGTATAAAAAGAGAATATCTGTAGTTATTTTTTTTTAATTTTTATCGCATGCGATTTTTTAAATTGGACTTTCAATTTTGAATCGTACAATTTCTGAAGTTTTTCTACACCCCGCAACACTATGTGTATATTTAGGGGTTCAAATGGATTAAAAAAATATTTTTTTTTTCTAGTGGCTCTACAGGTCCCATACAAATCGACACGGAATTTTGCAGAGAAGAGAGTTAAGGACAGGAAGGAAGTCTTTGGATGACCATTGGATTACATTTAGAAAGGTAGAAACTTTTGTGTGAAATTGTTTTGTACACCTATCAGCACAACAGAGAACTTTAATATAAGACAAATGCCCCGGTCAAAAAGCTAAGGTAATTTCTGGGCAGAGCTCTATGACATCATTTTAAAAACGAAATCTTCCAAAAGGTATTTAGACATAAGGGGGCTTCCAAAATATTATTGCGTTGTAGGGTATTACATGGTCGGTGCCGCGCGACTATAGCCTTTACATTCTGTTATACCCTCCACCTTGAAAAGAAGGGTATATTAACTTTGTCATTCCGTTCGAAACATCCCTAAATGTTCATCGTAGGCCCCATAAAGTATATATATCGATGATCAGCATAAAATTCCAAGTCAATTTACCTATGTCCGTCTGTCTGTTGAAATCACAATACAGTCCACATTATTTAAATTATAGCGTCAAAATTAGGCAGAACAATTTGTATTTTGTCTAGGGTAGTTGGTATTGAAAATGAGATATATCGGTCCACGTTTTGGTATAGCCGCCATATAACGGTACCTCCCGATATTCGGTATCTTGATGATTTTCCCCACAAAAAATGGTATTTTTAGGTTATAATGAATTTTAGCTCCAGTGGCGAAACATTTTGTATATTTTGTATAGCCCCCATATAACGGTGCCACCCGATATTCGGTATCCATGAATTTGTCTAAAAATTGGTAATTGTATTTCATAATAGGTTCAAGCTCCGGTGGCGTGACTTTATATTTATAGATCCACGTTTCCCTATGGCGCACATATAACGATACCCACCGACATTCGGTATTTTGATAATCCTAATCACATTTACGCACGAAATTGTTTCAAATTTGATATTTAAGAAGATTTAGTAGATGACAATACTTAAAGTATAAAAATGTCTATAGAGGTTCCCGTTTAGGTATGGCCCCCATATAACGACCTCTCTCAAGGTTTTTTTTTTTTTGAAAAGTTAAACAGCATTACCCAAACGGTCTTACTAGTATTTGTTGTTTAAAGTGTCGTCGTATTGTTTAAAAAACTTTTCATGGCCTATAGAAGTTCGGTTCACCTGACAACTAAGTTTTCTGTCAAAGGACATAGTTGTGATTTTAAATTCAGAAAAAGTGAAATCACAATCATACTAAAACTACTAAGTTTATTGTCCGATTGTCGTCAAAAGTAGTTTTCTTGCCCGACTTAGCCATATTATGGCACAATCAATAGCTACTGGATTTGCCGTAGCCAACACATTTCGAAAGATGAATAGGTAGCCGCACAATGAATTGTCAAAACATTTTTGAAATTCGAAGCTGTGTATAAAAAGTTAATTAAATTCCTTAAATTTTTTGAAAAACAGATATCATAATAACCTCTGAATGGCGTCGTATAAAAAAACATTTAGTCATATGTTCATATTTTTATACCCTCCACCATAGTATGGTGTCCGTATGTGGAAATCACTCCAGCTTCCGAACAAATTGAAGTAGGTTAATAAAATGTTACTCAGATGTGTGTTTGGTCTGTAGGTTTTTTTGGTTTTGGAAATGAAGTATATTCCTTTTCCTATATAACTATAACTACCTATCTATACTATATTCGGTATTTTAATGATTTTGGCGTTATTATTCACCCGGATTAATTCAAATGTCGTATTTGTAGTACGTTATGGGTGCTACAGTCTGTGACAGAAAACTGACCATGCGGATCCACCTCTACGTATAGCCCCTTTTTAACCGTACCTCCTTATAATCCCTATTTTGATGATTTTAGCGACATTGTTCACCGGATTGTTTCAAATTTCGTATTGTAAGTTTGTCCCAGTCAGTAAAAAAAATTGTCTATGCAAGTCCATGTCAGCCCCCATTTAACAGAACCTAACTAAATTCGGTAGTTTTGTGTTTTTGCGACAGTATTCACCGTTTTTTTTTTCAAGTTTCGTATTTGAATATTGTAATGTCTCCGTGTAGACCGCAATATAACGGTAACTCCCTATATTCAGAATTTTAATGATTTTAACAGTTTTTTTAATGTATTTTATTTTTGTGCAAATTTCCAAATTCCTTCCAAATGGTGGAGGGTATACAAAGTTCAGCCCGATCGAACTTATTGGTTATTACTTGTTGTAAATATGGATATATAATACATCTACCTATACATTTCTGACATTTACAAATACCGCTACTAAAGTTTCCATCAAATGATGTCCAGGCCAGAGAGGCCTACTTTTTGTATTCAAATTTTTGTTGATAAGAATTGAGGGGGAAGATATTAACAACAGTTGGTTTCAACATTATGGAGCAACCTGCCACAAAGACGAAGCTATAATCGATATCCTCCTCCTCAATTCTTATCAACAAAAATGCCAATAAAAAAGTAGCCCACATCAAAAACATCAATCATCACTTTACAGTTAAAATTCTAAAACCACAAATAATTGAACCTGGCTTGGACCGGTATTTAGAAATGTATAGGTAGATGTATCATATGTTCGTTTTTACAACAAGTAACAACCAATAAGTTCTGTCGGGCCGAACTTTGTATACCCTCCACCATTTGTAAGGAATTTGGAAATTTGCACAAAAATAAAATACATTAAAAAAACTGTTAAAATCATTAAAATTCTGAATATAGGGAGTTACCGTTATATTGGGGTCTACACGGAGACATTACAATATTCAAATACGAAACTTGAAAAAAAAAACCGGTGAATACTGTCGCAAATATATATGGAAAATGTATATATGGAAAATGTATGGTAAAATTAAAACCTCCCAAACGACAAAGTCATTGAAATTAAAGTGGATTTTCAGAAACAAGTACAATGGAGATTAGAATCCATTAAGATACAAAGTCCGTTTAGTGGTAAAAGGTTTTCAGCAAATGAAAAACTTGTATTATAGTGACTTGTATGCTCGCATTGTCAAACTTTCAACTGTTCAGGGATTTAAGAACTCCATTCTTAAATGGCGAGCTGAAAGAGAAGAGACAGGGCATGTCGACCCTTAAAATATATTTGTGGGTTAAAACAAACGCCAAAGTGTTCGAACGAGACTCTTAATAAACATCTCATGGCATTGGGATATGCATTAAAAAATTAAAAACACAATTGGAATTGGGAAAAAAATAAGCTGTCTTCTACCACTTAGCATGTCTGATCTAAGAATTGCGGTTGTCATACTGACTGGTCACTGCAGTATCAGATATCTGACCTCAATGTAGGATAACAGACTTCTTGGCTTCTATAGACTTAACGAAAATAAAGAAGCGGTGGAGACGATTGAACATCTACTTGATGATGTCATTTGTTATCAACCAGGGGATATAGCCTATTTGGTAAGTGGGAGATAGAAAAACGAATGTTCCTCTCAGAAATAGATCTCATCATCGTCTACAAATTTACAAATTTCCCTGGCTAGGCAAACTACGCTGCTAAATATACATCTCTCCTTAACCCCTTTCCTCTCTTTCACGTTTCTATCTCTTACCTCACAAACAACTTATGGAGCTGCGCATCATTTAACGAAAAATGGAAACGAACATTGTTCCTCCAAGCCGTCGTTGGATTGTGTACTCCCTGTTGCTTTATGTGTCGTCCTCAATGCAATTGTTGGTCTATCAATGCACGCCAATTTTCACCTTTAATAGTTCGAACAAGTCGAAAGTTGTATTCGATCCGAATTTAAACTCTTACTATGTAACAGTTTCGGATCGAGTAAAAAATGCTGTAACTAATTTTTTTTTATTTTGGTAGTACTTTCGAGTGTATTATTCAGAATTGGCAGCATTTACTTCGTAAAATATCGAAAATATAAAAAAGGAAAACTCAAAAATTAGAAATAATTACGTTTCACACGCCTCAAAAAATGCATTCGTTTGCTGCCTTTAACCAACTGTGATTGTTCCGTCATAGAAAACTCAAAAATTAGAAATAATTAAGTTTCACGCACCTCAAAAAAATGTATTCATTTGCTGCCTTTGGCCAACTGTGGATGTTCCCTTATAGAATTGAGTATTGTCTGAAATTGGCTTTGCTTTGTTTTGATCCTCCATCATGGAAAGCAGGGTATATTCAATTTTGGCTTAACTCTAGTTTAGTAAAACTCTTTAATTTTTTCGACATTTTTTCCAGTGGTAGGTATTTTTAACCTGATCCCGGGAAACTATTTTTTTCTTGGGGAACGGACCCGGGACTCCAGATTTTTGAACCTAAATTCCGGGTTCAAGACCCAGACTGGACCCGGATCCAATTAACCGATATAGACAGTATAGCTTATGAAAATACCTATCCAACATGTGGTCACATAATCAAACCAAAGTTTTCTAAATTTGACACTTTTTGTAAATAGCCGGCCTTTAACCGGGGGTTGAGATTTTCTCCTCTGAATATGTCCAACACCGGCTAACGCGAACCAAAGTTTCAACGACGGCTACGCGAAATAAACCTTTTTTACTGAAAACATAATTTTAATGAACTGGTTAGAATCGGGTTATGCGGATGGAAAGACCCATATCTCTGGAAACGAAAAAGTTATTATCAAATTGTAGCATATTGGAAAGGTAAAGAGTGTCAGCTATAATTTGGCGTCAATTATGTTGACCCCCATAATGGGCCGTTTTTGGACTGTTTGGGGGTTATATAAGAAATGTGACATGTGACCACTTGTTGGATAGGTATTAAGCTTTCCAACGATACCTATATTTTCTATATCGGGTAAGTGGATCCGGGTCCAAGCCGAGTCTAGAACCCGGATATTCGGGTCAAAATAGTTTCCCGGAATCAGGGTAAAAATGCCTATCTCTGGGAAAAAAAAAATCCTATCACGAAACAGCCCTCATTATTTGACGTTCAGAAATTTGCACAATAACCTGTATTGCGTCGGCATCGGTCCACGTTTTCGTATAGCCCTCATATAACGGTAGCTCCCTATATATTATACTTTTCAACGGAATTGTTCCAAATACGGTATTAAGAGTTTCCAAGGGATTCTACCTATTGTAGCTGAACAATGGATAGGTCCACGTTTATATATAGCGCCCATATAACGGTACCACCAGATATGTCTCATTTTTACGATTTAGGCCACATTTTCCATCGGATTTATTTAAAATTCGGAATTTGAACGTTCGGTATTAGAACATTGTCCATACTGGTCCATGGTTTCTATATAACGATACCCACCGATATTCGGCATTTCGATTATATAAGCCATATTTTCCACATAATTGTTACACACATGGTATTTAAAACTCACAAAACAACAAACCTATATGGGTTTTCGTTTTGGCATTGCCCCCATATAACGGTTCAAACCACTTTATTATTTATAGAATACACTTTAGCTAATGGTTCAATACCCTCGAAAGTTTTTCATTTCAATTTTCAGTGTTTTATTCAGTTGTTTGAATTTCAACAACTTTCCCGTTTTTTATTCATATTCGTTAGCTAAATATCAAACGAGTAGAAATGTAAACTATTGAACGACTTTTACTTCTAAATTCGAAGTACATAGTGATTCAAATCCTAAAGTAGAGTATGAGTATCCTATACTCGGATATGACAGTCCGGAAGTAGGAAATGGGTTTGCGAATTTGAGTTAGTTTTTAAAAAAATCGCATCCGAAATATTTTACTTTCGAATCGAGTTACATAGTAACCCCCCAGTTTTTAATATGATGCTCTTCTTCTTGGACAAACTTGCACAAACAAGTGTATCTTCTGTTGAATCATAAACAATTTTGTATTAAATATTTATGTATAAAATACAAAATTGTAATATTGTAAACCGTAGTACCAATGTGTGCTATTTGATCTTTATCGACTACACAGTTTTAACCTGCACATTTGGAAAGAAATAAAAGGTACAATGATTACTGAACTTTTCTGATATGGGTTCCGTAATTTAAAGACCTACCCACTGCTAGATCAATCAAAAATACTAAAAAAATAAAAGACATAGAAAAAATTATAACAAACATTTTTATTATTTATGCATAATATAATAACAACAACTAAGATTGGCAAAAAGTAATACTAACGGCGGCGGTCCAATATAAGTGTGTAAAAGTTATAACAAACCTATTGCAGTGCTACGCATACATAGACGAAGGTTATCAAATAACTCAAACGATAAACTATCTCCTGGCAAAACAAAATACACCCGCAAACACATAAGTATAGTATAATCGCTACATAATGGTATCCAGATCTGCAAAACAAAAAGATTAAATTTTGCAACGTACTTATTTATATATACTTACGATTTGCGAGGAGCTCCCAATTGTAACAGCACGCTGAGGCATGTTAGAGTTATTATTGTGGGTATAATAAATGGATCCGGAAGATGTTCGTGTATGTGACCTTGGCTAAAAAGTGATGAACTATTATACATATTGAACATTAAAACTGAGATTTAAGACACATACTACTTAGCTTTTATCCATGCTACACTAAGACCGAAATTAAGTGCGGACATTATGCCGAGTAACATAAGCATTGTAATGTGAAAGGCAAAATTTTCTAATCCTTCAAAATAAGAACATTTCTCCTCATTGGCCACTTCATTGGAGTCGTCAAGTTCATTGGTGTCCCCATTCTCGTTATTTGGAATCAATTCTTGTCCAGGGTTTCCATCAACAGCAATTATTTCCCTTTGTGACAGGGCAACTGTCCCTTTATTTTTTGAGGTTGATCTAATTTTTTGACGAATTCTTTTAAATATCCCCTTTGCTTTATCCCATGCCCAATTCTCCAGGTAATCTTTGTACGCATTAGAAATCTTTAAATAAAAACAACGTGTAAAAAGAACATTGCCGAGTTCACACAATATTACTACTGTAATACGTACCACTAAAAAGTAAAATATTGTTGCCAGTGTTAATCCAATTCCACTACATGTGCCTACTGATATCGATATAAACAGTACTCCAAAGGATAAGGGTAAAGTGGTAACAACTTTCATTAAAATTTCCGACGAAGCCGTTGATAGTCTTGTCAATCTTTGTATATATAGAAAAGGTCAGTAGTCAGAAATAAATTCTCTAAATAAACTTACTTAAGTGCAATTTTGTGAAGAATGTTACCATGAAATGTCAAGATCGTCCATATTGAAAAAACTGAAACGATGGATAGCACAATTGCAGTTCCGTGTATAATTATAGAAACATAGAAACTGTAGTTCGAAGTATCAGGAGATATTGGAAGAAATTTCAAATTTAGTAAGAGTTTCTTTAAAAGTCGGCACCCTAAAAAAGACAAATTTTAGTTTCAACACTCATATTTATACTTTCAAGGCAATTGGTCACCTGTTACAATGTAAAGCGATTTACTCTGAAAAAACCCGGCATAGGGCTTCACAAACAATGCATCTTCGGAGTTTTGAAATGACACGATTTGATTCCGAAGAACTAAAAATAGTACTGCAGTTAAATGCGCCGGCAACCAATGATAGAACTCCTGTACAATCTTGGAGAAAGTTCCAGCAATAGAAAATTGGTAACTAAAATGATTTCACTATTAATTATTATTATACAAAATGCTTTTAAAGTCAAACCTTATTTTGTAACGGCAACTTGGATTTAAAAATAAATCTAAAGTTACTGGATTTTGAGTTGTGTTATAACCACTTGGCGTAGAAAATGGCACATTCACATATATTGTTTTTACTTTTGTATCATGTCTGAAAGAAATAACGGCTGTAGTTTATTAGAGGCTACTAAAACTAGTGATAGCTTCACGACATACGTTAGATGAATATGCCTATTGAAGCCACGAGCCCAAGGAATGCATATTTTTGCAGTTACTCCAAACTCATCATCTCCACATTCTACAGGTTCAATATCAAATTGTACAGTGGGAAATGGCTCGTCCAATCCTTTAAAGTATGATTCAAAAATTACAAACATATCAACACCATAGGTATATTCTACATTTAAATACAAAATGTTCCAGCAAACATGAAATAACATTCAACCACATTTTTTCTGTCGGGGACCTAACAAGTACTTAATTTTCGTCGTTAGCTTACCGATTTAGGCCACATTTTCCATCGGATTTATTTAAAATTCGGAATTTGAACGTTCGGTATTAGAACATTGTCCATACTGGTCCATGGTTTCTATATAACGATACCCACCGATATTCGGCATTTCGATTATATAAGCCATATTTTCCACATAATTGTTACACACATGGTATTTAAAACTCACAAAACAACAAACCTATATGGGTTTTTGTTTTGGCATTGCCCCCATATAACGGTTCAAACCACTTTATTATTTATAGAATACACTTTAGCTAATGGTTCAATACCCTCGAAAGTTTTTCATTTCAATTTTCAGTGTTTTATTCAGTTGTTTGAATTTCAACAACTTTCCCGTTTTTTATTCATATTCGTTAGCTAAATATCAAACGAGTAGAAATGTAAACTATTGAACGACTTTTACTTCTAAATTCGAAGTACATAGTGATTCAAATCCTAAAGTAGAGTATGAGTATCCTATACTCGGATATGACAGTCCGGAAGTAGGAAATGGGTTTGCGAATTTGAGTTAGTTTTTAAAAAAATCGCATCCGAAATATTTTACTTTCGAATCGAGTTACATAGTAACCCCCCAGTTTTTAATATGATGCTCTTCTTCTTGGACCAACTTGCACAAACAAGTGTATCTTCTGTTGAATCATAAACAATTTTGTATTAAATATTTATGTATAAAATACAAAATTGTAATATTGTAAACCGTAGTACCAATGTGTGCTATTTGATCTTTATCGACTACACAGTTTTAACCTGCACATTTGGAAAGAAATAAAAGGTACAATGATTACTAAACTTTTCTGATATGGGTTCCGTAATTTAAAGACCTACCCACTGCTAGATCAATCAAAAATACTAAAAAAATAAAAGACATAGAAAAAATTATAACAAACATTTTTATTATTTATGCATAAGTGTGTAAAAGTTATAACAAACCTCTTGCAGTGCTACGCATACATAGACGAAGGTTATCAAATAACTCAAACGATAAACTATCTCCTGGCAAAACAAAATACACCCGCAAACACATAAGTATAGTATAATCGCTACATAATGGTATCCAGATCTGCAAAACAAAAAGATTAAATTTTGCAACGTACCTATTTATATATACTTACGATTTGCGAGGAGCTCCCAATTGTAACAGCACGCTGAGGCATGTTAGAGTTATTATTGTGGGTATAATAAATGGATCCGGAAGATGTTCGTGTATGTGACCTTGGCTAAAAAGTGATGAACTATTATACATATTGAACATTAAAACTGAGATTTAAGACACATACTACTTAGCTTTTATCCATGCTACACTAAGACCGAAATTAAGTGCGGACATTATGCCGAGTAACATAAGCATTGTAATGTGAAAGGCAACATTTTCTAATCCTTCAAAATAAGAACATTTCTCCTCATTGGCCACTTCATTGGAGTCGTCAAGTTCATTGGTGTCCCCATTCTCGTTATTTGGAATCAATTCTTGTCCAGGGTTTCCATCAACAGCAATTATTTCCCTTTGTGACAGGGCAACTGTCCCTTTATTTTTTGAGGTTGATCTAATTTTTTGACGAATTCTTTTAAATATCCCCTTTGCTTTATCCCATGCCCAATTCTCCAGGTAATCTTTGTACGCATTAGAAATCTTTAAATAAAAACAACGTGTAAAAAGAACATTGCCGAGTTCACACAATATTACTACTGTAATACGTACCACTAAAAAGTAAAATATTGTTGCCAGTGTTAATCCAATTCCACTACATGTGCCTACTGATATCGATATAAACAGTACTCCAAAGGATAAGGGTAAAGTGGTAACAACTTTCATTAAAATTTCCGACGAAGCCGTTGATAGTCTTGTCAATCTTTGTATATATAGAAAAGGTCAGTAGTCAGAAATAAATTCTCTAAATAAACTTACTTAAGTGCAATTTTGTGAAGAATGTTACCATGAAATGTCAAGATCGTCCATATTGAAAAAACTGAAACGATGGATAGCACAATTGCAGTTCCGTGTATAATTATAGAAACATAGAAACTGTAGTTCGAAGTATCAGGAGATATTGGAAGAAATTTCAAATTTAGTAAGAGTTTCTTTAAAAGTCGGCACCCTAAAAAAGACAAATTTTAGTTTCAACACTCATATTTATACTTTCAAGGCAATTGGTCACCTGTTACAATGTAAAGCGATTTACTCTGAAAAAACCCGGCATAGGGCTTCACAAACAATGCATCTTCGGAGTTTTGAAATGACACGATTTGATTCCGAAGAACTAAAAATAGTACTGCAGTTAAATGCGCCGGCAACCAATGATAGAACTCCTGTACAATCTTGGAGAAAGTTCCAGCAATAGAAAATTGGTAACTAAAATGATTTCACTATTAATTATTATTATACAAAATGCTTTTAAAGTCAAACCTTATTTTGTAACGGCAACTTGGATTTAAAAATAAATCTAAAGTTACTGGATTTTGAGTTGTGTTATAACCACTTGGCGTAGAAAATGGCACATTCACATATATTGTTTTTACTTTTGTATCATGTCTGAAAGAAATAACGGCTGTAGTTTATTAGAGGCTACTAAAACTAGTGATAGCTTCACGACATACGTTAGATGAATATGCCTATTGAAGCCACGAGCCCAAGGAATGCATATTTTTGCAGTTACTCCAAACTCATCATCTCCACATTCTACAGGTTCAATATCAAATTGTACAGTGGGAAATGGCTCGTCCAATCCTTTAAAGTATGATTCAAAAATTACAAACATATCAACACCATAGGTATATTCTACATTTAAATACAAAATGTTCCAGCAAACATGAAATAACATTCAACCACATTTTTTCTGTCGGGGACCTAACAAGTACTTAATTTTCGTCGTTAGCTTACCGACAATTTTCGTTTTCTTTACCGAAATTATAAGAAATAGTACTATTGTAGTTAATTGTGTCGTGAAATGATTAGAGAATCCCACTACCGATTCTCACAATTTTGAGATAATATATTAATGCTTTAGTAAAAATATTCGTTTCCACAGGTATATAGAAAAATGTCCAGTATAAAACCACTTACCTTCAATAAGAACTCCGGTGTGTATTGTTCCCATGACTGTTTCATTAACGAGTGTTTTTAGCTTTGGTAGGGAAAACTTGGGAGCTTTTATTTTGTATTTCCGATCTTCTACACTATAAGCATCGATTTTTAGTGAAGTCTATGCAAAATAAAAAAAAATAAATTTAAATTTGCAGAAATTTCATTATACTTTGGCAAACTAACCGGCTTGTTGGTGGGTTTTAGCCGAACGAGGATATGTGTCCAATCTGGATAGTACTTTAGCATGCGGTGGATATCGAGTAGTACCATGTATCGATAGTTATCATGAGAGGGTATGGTTTGAACAAAATGTGAAAGCGAAGTTCCCTTCTGACTGTTTAAAAATTTTAATAAAGATTAGCACCTGTTTGAACTGTCTCATATTTTTTAGAGAGCTCAATTATTTCGTTTTTCAAGAAAAAAATATGCACGAAATTATTTGATTTTTTTTAAGCATTCTGTTGCATCGATTCTTCATTTTTTGTAGGATATTTCTTTTTGGTTCAAATGAGTACAATTTTATAAGTTTTTATCACATGTAATGCAGGGAATATAGACCCACAGTTACATACATTGATGATATACTTTGACTTAATATTTCACAAAACCGCTACATTAACAAATCAAATGTATAAATTTGCATTTTTAACTGCATTTTGGTGTTCTGCAATTTATTACACAAAGACTATTCATAGAGATGATAAATACTCACCAGTACAATCCACTGGCCTCAGTTCTATGTGCTGTACAGCCGAAAACCCAATCATTTTCGAAATCTTCGTAGCTATCAATTTCAATGTAGATTTTCTAAAAGTCGCATGAAGTATAAGCATCTCATTTTGCGTTTATGTCACAATTATCGAACAAACCTTCAATTCCTTGTATTTCGCTGTTGGTAATAAGTGATTATAATCAGCACGTAATCCATTTTTAAACACTTTTCGAAAAGCAATTTTAGAATCTTCCTGCCAACTTGAGCCAGAATTTAATTTGGGGAAATATACTTCATTAGATTTAGGCTTATTTAAGGGTTTCTGAAAAAGCAACACCAAATTGTATGATCATATATATATTTGCCATTACGCCAGTTAAAATCCATGTATGTAAATACAAACCACAAAGTAATTTATAGCTGTTTGAGTGCGATAGTATTTATCGGGAGAAAAGAACACATTTTTGTTTTCATCAATGACAGATATCCCGAAAATGAAGCGGTTAATCACCAATACCAATTGCAAACACCATACAGCAGACAAATGGTCACAGCTCAACCAAACTTTAGGTATCGATGAAGTCTTTAATAACATGCATATTAGAGCAAGTACAAAAAATAAAATGTGTAATTTATTTACCATTGCGTGAATATCATTGTACTGAGAAGTAGTTAAACCATCACGTACCAACAGATCGCGATTGCCTCCGCCCATAGAAATCATAAGAATGTTATCTAATATTTTCGACTCATTTCCCTGGTGCGGTATTTTATCCTGATAATTTAAGCATACATTTGTTTGTCGGTTTGGCAGATGTGTAGTTCGTTTGTTATGGAAATATCCATCAGTATTCGAATAAAACTCATTAATTTTGGGATCGAAATTTACAACTGGCTTGTCTATTGGCGATGATATGAATATTATGGTGTTGATATATTTGGCAATTGCGGGGTCTTGTATTACAGCTTGAGCCACTTTACCACCCATCGAATGACCCACAAGTATTATAGATTTGTCCACATTGTTCGCCTCTTTGTATAATGTTCTGACTGCTAAAATAGCAATTCGCAAGAAAAGTTTTTGATTCTCTAAATATCCTCCGTATAAAGCCGAAAGCTGTTCCTCAAAATTTACTAGAAAGAGTATAATTAATGAATAAAAATTGTTCATACATTTACGAAGGATATTAATTTTAATAAATAATTAAAATCTGTTTGTTGTCAATTTGTGTGGGAGCTGTAGCCATATTTGCGTTATAAATTGGAATAAATATGTCGAAGACAACTAATTTCTAATGTTCAATTTTCTATGCGTTAAAAATAGGAAAAAATATGTTGAAAACAACTAGTTTTTTATGTACAATTTTTAATTCTTGATACTTAAATGCAGTGGACATTTCAGTGTCTAAAGGGGAAGATGTGGAAAATCCTTATGTCAGGAAGTATATAATTTGTTTAATATATCCATTGCGTTGAGTGTTGGCATTTTTAGGTCGGTGTATAGGGCTTGTTGAGTTTTGGTTCTTTTTGAGATGCGCAAATGGAAATCTCTAAATCAAGGCAAGGCAAAGAGAGTTCCATGGGATGTATGTGTGTTCACCAACACAATTGTACAAAAATAGTTTGTATAGCAATTGTATTAAGAAATGATGTCCGTGATTGTAAAACCTACAGCTGCATAGATTTATATTTTTCTTTGAATTTTCTATTTGGATACAACATTTACGGTCGCTATTTCAAGAGTGTGGAACTCCGCTTAAGTAGAGTTTTTTGGTTTCTTAATCTAACAAGCCCAAAAGCGTTTTTCTAATTAAATTTTTACTAACTTTAGCTTCAGCATAAAAAAATATTCAACGTTAAATGGAAATTTTGATATTTTTACCCAAACATTTTACGCGGAAAAGTGAGTTTTCTGCTAGTTGACATATCCAGTAACAATTTGTAACAATTGTGACCAAATGTGGCGTAGCTAGATATACCTAATGACCACAGCTTTTTCTTTGCACGTAATGATCAACATTATTAAATCAACAGATTTGAAATCAGCATTTTTTAACTAATGACCACAAATGATGATGCACAAAATGCAGATTAGTTTTAATTAAGGCTAAAATAACTACGTTATTATATTATGAAATGAAATATTATAAAAGGGAAAAAGCATTTGTTAATATTGTATCTTACATGATTTCTAAATCTTTTTTCCTACAAATTTTGTACCTACAGCTTACAACTATACATTCAGAGGAATGATATAAAAATAACAAACACATATTTTTGATTTATATTTGTTTTGGAGAAAAGTTCCCAGATCAGGGATTGTTTTGAATGTACCAAATTCCAAAATCTGCACCCATAACGAAAAGTTTTTCATTTTCCATTTCTACCCGCTACCGAAATATCAAATTATAAACGCTCAGTTGAAAATATAACAAGGATTTTAGAATATGAAAATAACATTTTTTCAAGATATAGTTTCCTTATTCTAACTTTTCCAAATGCTTATCGTTACCGAAAATAGACTTCGTCAGCAGATCGAAACAAAATTATATTCGACTAAAGTACCTACATATATACCGAAGTGTATAAAATCAACACTCAATTTACTGATATGATAAAATATTACAAAATTGCATCCCGGCGAAAGACCTGGGACGTATGAATTCGTAGTAAAAACTATTAAGTTACGTAGTACTCTTAAGTTGCCGGCCCTAGACGGACCACTATCAAAAACTTCTCTAAAAAATTGCTGAGTAGGTGAGTACTTAGGCCCATAAACCGGCATTTTGTTTCAATTTATAAAAAATACCTGTAAAATAGTCCATATGTATGCCGCGATCATTATCCATTCCTTTACGCAACGCTACCGAAGCCAATGAACGAACCTATTTGAGAAAAAACCTTATAACAAGACAAAGTCAAACTCCAGTGATTGAATAACACTACTTACCTGTTTGTAAGAGCCTGCATTTCCAGGAACAAAAATGACGGGCGCGCCTTTCAATTTCATCCTATTTACATCTTGAAGTATTCTTCCTTCGTAATAGTAAAACAGGCCATAGTGCGGGAACTCTGAATTATCCTTAATATTTACTTTCTTAAAAAAAATCTCATTTAGTTCGTTGATGACATGCATTTGCGCATTCATAAATTCATATTCGTATTATTGCTACAGAATACTTACAGAAAATTGGGGAACACCAAACATATATGTCATGCGACAAGCATTTTCCTCAACTTCCAAAAATAGATTTTTTATTCCATAAAGAAAACAAAGAAATGACGCCAATATTAGTAATACTGTTGCATTTCTAAACATTTTATTTGTAGTATGTGTCTTGGTAGGTCTTTTGATTTCCTTGGCAATAGTTTTGTTAGTCCTGTGGTTCCTGAAACACCCAATTAAAAAGTTGACACAAATCGATGACCGTGAAAGTTTATTTTATACAATATATGTATATACACACAGCATTTTGTTAGCCTCGTTTAAAGTCCCTTGCGGATTAAAATTTACCATATACAGCTCTCGGGACCCTGAGAAGAGACTCCTCCAAATTCTAAAATTTTCATAGATTTTTCAAAGATTTTGTAAAGGCAACGACTTCATTAAGAAAATGGAATATATCGGAACCAGGACATCAAGTTTCACAATGACACCCATATTGCTTCGTTTATAGATCCGCAAGGGTGCTCTAAACCAGACATGATCTATAGATTTTTATTTAAATTATTAAAATAATTCATAAGAAGGGATTTACTTTCTAAACTTTCAAAATTTCAAGCTGAGATGTCGAACCGATATAAAAGCAACTTGACATCGCATCCGCAGAAATAAAAACAAACAGCAAAGCGGGAATGAAGAATATTTATAATCAAAACAAAATTTAAGATCGGTTTACAGAGCCCTAATTTTCGCCCAGAAAACATATGCGGTGTTTACGATGGCTAATCACAATGGATTGATAACATTCTTTGTTATTCGCTATAATATGCATTAGCTATAATCATGGTAAAACAATACAGGTAGTCGCATCGGCACAGCTGCTGGGACAATGAAAGTTTTGAAAAAATTTTTCAAATTTGTAAAAATTGTTGAAAAATGCAACCTCCTATTTATGTCGTATGTCCGACACCGGCTAACGCGAACTTAAGTTTTCTTAATTTTCAACTTTTTGTAAATTTTAAACTATTTTCTCCTCTGGTTATGTCCAACTAACACGAACCAAAGTTTTCTAAATTTTATTCGGCCAATATCTCTGTATTGTATGCATAGCTGGGTGCGACCGGACGCGTCCACAGGTTGCGGATAGTGGAACGCCCGATATATCGATGCTACTAGCGTTGGGATGTTACGTAAACCGTGCCTATCTGTGTTCCAAGGTTTGCAGTCAGAGAGAAAAGGCCATTATCAGGGCAAACCTGAAAGCAGTGAGGCAGTTCGAAAATAACCACCCGCTACTGCCTAAGTGTTCACTTGATAAGGATCTTGCCTCTCTCCTTGTCGACCTTATCAAGAGGGCAGGCCCGCTTGCGACGCACCCTTGGGTAAGGGCACCGTGGAGGACAGGGAAATTCCAGTTGTTGGAACTTCAGCTCCGGCCGTTGTACCGTCAACTGAATTAAACACTGTCCCCACTAAGTCCAGATCACCTGTGAAAAAAACGCAATAGGCGGAAGAAAAAGAGGGGAGAGTCTGAAGGCACAGTTATCTCAGCGAAACCAAAGGAGACCGAATCCCCTTCTCGTTCAACGTTGAAGAGGAGACGGTCAACGCAGTAACCACACCCTGAAGCAAAAAAGCCGTCAACGTGTAAACACCCGCTTTCACCTACTGCGTCATCCTCTCAGGCCGTCACCAAGAAGGTTGCCGCTGGATCGCCGCAAGCTGCCAAAACAGTTTTCAAGCGTTAAGGCCATCAATAAACCCCAACCTTCAAGCCAATGCGGTAGGAAGAGGAAAATTTCCCAGACTGTATATCCGGACAACCTCCGCATAGCAGTCTCGATCGTGCTGAGCCGGAAGGCAAAATCAGCGATAATCGGTGGCTGCTCATAGAGGCCCGTCTGAGACAGCTGGTCTTCCCTGGGGAGGAGTGAATGACATCTGCTGCGAGAATGCAGAATCCAAAAACTTCCTCGTAACCGCGTAGCTGGCTTCCACGTCATCGATGGATCCGGCACGTATGCTTAAAATACTGGGGAAACAGAATCTCAACCTTCGTACGGAGAACTGGCGGCTAGTGGGTTCTAGTACGGAGGGTGGAGGCCTTGTCGTCAAGGTATCCATCGATACTGCGGGCGAGCATTACCTTCAGGCGTGTGGGGAGGAGCTGAACTTCGGCGGAGGATGGATTCGTCTAACGCCGCTGAAGTAGGAGGGAGATGCAGCAACTACTAAGTATTATGCAGATTAATCTGCATCACTGCAAAGCGGCTGTAGCTGAACTTCTCCTATCCCTCACTAAGGCTGAAGTTGACATAGCCATGGTCCATGAACCTTATATTTGCAAAAATAAGGTGACTGCTCTGGGGAACGAACGGTACATCACCTACGGCACCTCCAATGGAGATAAGGTTAGAAAATGTATCGTCGCTTAAAAGAACATGAACTTAATCTTCCTTAATCATTTCAGCGGAAGAGAAGCCATGGCGGTTAGATTGGAGATTCGATCTGGAAGGGTTCTAGTCTTCATGTCCCTATACCTGCCATACGAGTACCCCGACACACCGGGCCAAGTAGTAGAGAAGCTGTCCGCGGAGCTGGAAGCAAAGGCAGTCTCATCATTGGATGCGACACAAACGCACACCACTTTCAATGGGACAGTAAGGATACAAATGCAAGAGATGAGTCCGTTTTTGATTTTATTCCTAGACATAATCTGAAAATATGTAATAGCGGAAACGAGGCTACATTTCAAAACAAGGATAGAGAGGAGGTCATTGATCTCACCCTAACTAATGAGGATGAACCGCTCATACTGAACTGAAAAGTATCCTCCGAATGTTCGTTTTCGGACCACCGGAAGATCACATTCCAAGTATTGGTAGAGGGCATTCGTGAAAAACTCCATTGGAATCCTATGATGGCTCGTTGGGACAAATTCACAGAGGCTGAGATTCGCAAGCAACATAAATGTGGACTCAGTTTCGAGTCTGGACGACTCTGTGAATTTCTTGAAAAAAGTCTTACTTGAATGATATAAGCAAGCGTGTCCGCTTACATTCCCTGACAAGAAATGCCAACCGCATTGGTGGTCTAAGCACCTAGGTGGTCTTAGGAAAGTAAGCAGACGTGCAGCAAAGGACGTGAACCTGATCAATAGGATTGTAAGCACTCCAAAAATCCTATTTGCCATATACCCCTTCAAGCCCATCAAATCACTGGGATCGGACGGTATTATTCTCACCATGCTACAGCACGCATCGACGGTCCTAGCACCGATTCTGAAAGTGATCGGTACCTGCAAACTATTTCAAACCTAAATGCATTTCAAACCATTGACAAAGTACAATGAGCAGCACCACTTTTAATTGCAGGTACACTCAGAAGCATACCTAGCAGAGACACTTGGACCCAGAACACCCACCTTCCCGCGGTATAGCTATCTATACCGACGGCTCTAAGATGAAAAGTGGAATATCCGGAATTCATTCAAATTCAATAAAGACTGTAGCGTATTACAGGCAGAAATCTGTCAGGAAAGCAGTAGAATTGCTGATGAATCGAACAGCTGAACTGGATGGACTATATATGTCTATAGTCAAGCGGCCCTAAAAGCGCTAAATTCATCCACCATCAAATTTATGGCCGACCTGGAGTGCAGGATTGGTATGGAAAAAGTGAAGGCCTTTATTAAGCTTTGTTGGGTTCCTGGTCATAGCAACATCTCTGGCAATGAAGCTGCGGATGAATTGGCCAGAAGTGGCTCCGAGTCAGCTCTTCTAGAGATTGAGAGCTCACTTCTTCCAGATTATACAAAAACACTATTCTGGAAGAATAGCCGGTAATTTCTCCGAAAGGAGATCTCTATCACTCATTTCTATGACGAAATCGGACCTAATACTTGTAGTGGGCTTAATTACAGGTCACTGTAATATTAGGGCCATGACTTCCAAGTGAGGGTGACGATCCTGACTATTGTGGGCTTTGCCAAGACGAGGAAGAGATAGAAACTGCGGAACACTTACTCTGCCAATGTTCAACTCTTTTTAGAGTCAGACTGAGGCTAACAGGAAAGCAAACTCTGCATGATCTGTCTTCACTCTCCAACACTGAGCCGTCAGTTATTCTTCAGTTCGCTAAAAGACTAAAATGGCTAAAGACAACACGATCAACTCTTTGCGGATACAACCTTCTAACATAAGCCTATTTCCTTCTCTCTTTATTTTTCACTCTATCAGGATGATCACAATGGACCAGCAGGTCTCCGAGTCGAACGGTTGCTAAGCAACCACGCAACATATAGAAAGGTTATATGTTGCGTGAAACATATAGAAAGGTTATATTTTAAACTATTTGTAAGTAGCCGGCATTTCGCCGGGGTTTGAGATTTTCTCCCCTGGGTATATCCCGCAGCAGGTAACGCGATCTCAAGTTTACTACTTTTGATTAACTTTTGATTATCTTTGTAAGTAGTCCCCACAGGAATCGGTCTTGCAAATGGGATTATGTCCGGGTGACTGTATATAGTCCAGCGAAAATAGACATAAACGAAAATACAGCTTAATTTTGGTATGGAGTTAGAGTTTATCATTACAAATAAAATGTCGAAGGTCCCCAGAAATCCTACAGAGTCAAGTGTCGCTATTTTAGCCTCCATCATACAATTGTAACTAATCGAAATAATCATTGTGTGTTCTTGATCAGAGTAAAATTCTAAATCGTTTGCCACTATCTTCCGAACTAATTGAGATTGAAGGCTAAAATTCTGAACATATGTATATTTTATCAGTGGGCAAGTTAAGATCGGAGTAAAATAAGGTGTGTCTGGTTACCCTAAAATTTGTAACAATTGTTACAAATTGTTACTGGAAGTCGTCTGTTAACCCGAAAGTTCTGCAAAAGAGAGCGGTTGGAGAGAGAAATTTTGACAGTTCTTTCAGTGAGAGTATGCAAATTCTTGCTGGAAAAATTTATTCTTGCAATCTCTTGCAACTCTTCTTCTTCTCATTCATCGACATTCAATCAGATGTGTTCTATTGTTTATTTATTTCTTTTTGTGATTTTAATTTGAAAATATTGGTTTGGAATTAGCAAGACTAATTGTTTTTGGAGAACAACTTTACAAAATGTGAAAAACGTAAATGTTAATATGTAATAAGAAAATAAAAGACTATTTCCAACATTTTTATTTAAAAAACTTGTAAAATTAGTATTGCTTCCTTTGTTTTAATTCTCCTTATGGGGAACAAATTGGTTTGTTTTGACAAATCAGCTGATTAGTTGCAAGCTTCTGCAGGAATAGCGTCTGTTTACTTTTCGCATTTTCCTTGCAAAAGAGAATAAAACTACCTTACTCTCTCAGAAAGAAGTTGCTGGACAATTCCTGCTGGAAAAGCAGAGCAACCAGTTGATTACAATTGTTTCTGAGCGTGTCCGACGTCTGCCACTTTTGTACACGTATTTATTGTTTTGCAAAATAAAAATAAAATATTTTCAAAATCAATGATTGG